ACCTTCAGCATACACAGAGGAATGGATTGAGCTTTGAGAAATAGTCACAGCTGGGAATTAAGAATGTGTTATCATTAATTTAGTTGGATGACTTGGTGTTCATTCATTATCCTCAAAATTATACTTTCAATTCTACCGTATTTATAGGTAGTGAAGTGCCTAACAGATTATAAGAATTTTGAAAGTCTTTCATTCATTCATTTATTGAATTTTTATCGAGTGTCTCCTGTTACCAGGCATTGTGTTAAATTGTGAACAAGACAAACAAGGTCACTGTGTCCTAGGCAAGGAATTTGCATTCCAGTAATTATCCTTTATATAAATCTAGACATTGTTTCTTACTGGAGCAAAAGAAGGGAGGTCTTTTCAAGCAGTACATTGTCTGCAGAAGCCATCTGAAATGAGAAGATAAAAGAGAATAATCGCCCTCATATCTCTCAAGTATTTTTATTTTAAAATTAGAAAAAACAAGCATAGGGGAGACTTGGCTTTTGGGTTGTTTCATAGCTTTTTGCTTTGATTTTTTTGACTTTTTATTTTTTTTTTTTACAGAGCTGGGGATTGAACCCAGGACTTCTTATGTGCTAGGCAAGCACCCTACCACTAAGCTACATCCCCATCCCCTGCTTTGATTTTTTTTTTAGTCTAATTTTGCAGGCAAAATGAATCTAATTTTTTTTTCCTTTTCCTTTTTTACTTTGATCATGAAAATTGAAAGGAAAGAAAGAAGGGAAGGATCTTCCAAAAACTTATGTCAGGGATCTTGCAAAAGGAATTATTTATTTAAAATTTAGTTGTTAGAGTGAAGATCCATAAACAAACTAGACATTAATTCACTCACTTCATGAATTGAGCACCTGCTATTTGCCAGGTGCTGTGCTAGTTACTGGGGTAAGGAAAGAGAGATGTCTCCCTGCCCTTAAAGAGCATATTTAAAAAAGACCTTTCTTCTCCTGACATCCTTTTATTGAAGAATTGCCGCAAACTAGATTATGAGTACTCATGGACCAGATGGCACTTTTTTTTCCCATCTGGGATAGTTCTAAAGAATAGACCCTCATGTATCAATAGACAAGATTTCTTCTAGTTCTAAGCTTTCATGATCTATGATCTAATAGTAGAAACAAGATGTATACTTCCAAAAAGATGTGATGCTTGTATTAATTTTCCTAAAAAAGGAAAATAGGTATGACCTATTTATTCAGAGAAAATTGGGTTCCTCCTATCTCTTTAAATAATTCCATTTAAACTCCTTTAGCTCTTTCTTCTTGAATCACCTTCCAAAGCTCACTCTTAGCTCTTTAGTCTCATTTCCTTTGACTTCCTTTAATGACTAAGACAAATTATTCATCTGTAACTGACTATACTTGACATCCCAAGTTAAAGGTTTTGCTGTTAACTTAAATGCATCATGTTCCAAATGAATTCATACATACATATGCCATTTCTCCCTTTTCTAATTGCCATGTTTCCATTCTTCCATACATGAAATCTAAGAGTGTATTTATTTCTTAAAATATTAAGCCCCAGCACCAAATTGGATAGCCATTCTTTCTTTCAAAATACCTCTTAATATGTACCCTTTTTTAATATTCCAGGCAATACTGTCTTAATTCCAATGCAAGTCTAGTCAAGTGCAACAGACTCTACCTGGTCAAGTGCAACAGACTCTAACTGGTTTCAGCCTTAGGGCCCCTTTGGAATCTGATGTGTGCCATACAGACATACCAATGTTTGTAAAACCCAGCTTTCCTCTAAAATAGGGAATCATCTCACAGGAATCTTTTGTGTTCTCTAGACCTAGAATATGCCTTGTTTTGCATCATCTGCATTGTATCTCACTGTTCTCCTACATATCGTCGTTCTATTGCCCCAGGCTTTTCCTGGGTTTATCACTATTCTGCACCTTCCACCCTTTATGCATCCAAAGATCAGAGACTATAATATTTGCTTCCTTATATCCCTTTCAATATCAATAGACACTTAGAAAGTGAGCAGATAATTAACTGAGTGAAGAATCAGTTGTACCCAAATGCAAGGTACTAGTGTATAATTTCTAGATTTTGCTTTCTGGTTTGCATATACTACTTTATATTGGGTAAAAGCATAACCAGTTACCCAGGCACCTGCATCCCATAATGTCAGGTACTCAGGAGGCTGAGGCAGGACGATTTCAAGTTCAAGGCCAGCATTGGCAATTTAATGAGACCTTGTCTCAAAAAATAGAAAAGGACTGAGGATGTAGCTCAATGGTAGAGCACCCCTGGCTTCAATCCCCAGTACCAAAATCACACACACACGCACACACACACACACACACACACACACGCACACACACACACACCACAGCCACTTAGGAAGGTCTAATACTTGGAGGCTTTTGTTTCAAAATTTTATCAAATTTTATTTCCTTGTATAATTGCTCATAGAATAAAGTGCTTTGTTTCTAACTAACTACAGCTTATGAAGACTTTGGTTACCTTCAGATTTTTCTTCTTAAAATTATTTCTTTATTTAGTCAATTGTGCATTCAGTCCACACAATACCTTTCTCCAATGATAATTTGTGAAATGAAATATTTTATGCTTAATTCTCTAGTTATTTTCTAGATGTTTCCTGAATATTTCATTTCATTGCATGATGCATTTTTAATTTGTCTCACTCTCATGCATTTTTGTAAGTTTGAGTCATAGGGATAGAAGGTCTCTTTGATCTCAGTTTAAACTCTTTACAATATTGGGTATGCACAGGAAACTACCAGTGTGGTTCTGCTTATATAAGACGGAAACAAGCTTTAGTGATTGGGGGCTTATAATGGAATCAGATGCTTCATCCATCCATGCAATCCCTGTGATATGGTGGTGTAAATCCCAGTCCAAGGGCAGGAAAATACCAATGTCCTTCTGACTCAAATAGGTAGGCAGAGCAAAAGAGGCAGTTCAGGGGGCTGCAGAGATAGTTTAGTTGGTAGAGTGTTTGCCTAGCATGCACAAAGCCCTGGGTACAATCCCTAGCACCACCCAAAAAAAAAAAAAAAGGCAGTTCAGGCCTTGATTGGATGATGCCCATCCACATTAGGAAGGGCAATCTACTTTGCTGAATGCACATATTCCAATGCAAATCTCATTTAAAAAAAAAAAAACACATCCACCTAGACATATCCAGAAATAATGTTCATTGTAGGCCCCATGCAGCACAAGTTGACACATAGAATTAACCATCAGTCAGTGTCAATGGATATTCTTGTTTGTCCCCCACTTCTCTCTCTTCATCTCTCTCTCTCTCTCTCTCTCTCTCTCTCTCTCTCTCTCTCTCTCACACACACACACACACACACACACACACACACACACTGCATTAACTCATTTACACATTTGTGTTATCAACTAGTCATTAAATAAATATTTAATACCACTTATGATATTCAGGGTTCAATGAATTCTGAGGATGGGGACATCATATGGGGAGAAAGAGAAACAAGGAATAGTCACTGCTACCAAGGGCTTTTAGCAGAAGATACTCATGTCCATATAACTAAAATGAATGGTATAACAGAAGTGTGTCAAGTATAAACCATGTGCTGTGAGAATGCTGAGGAAGGCATTAATTCTAATGTGAGAGATGGAAAAGCAAACATAAATGGTTAACAGCCTTGAACATGGAGAGAAAGGGGATAAGAGCATTCTAGAAAGAAGCAACATGAAAATATCATGAAAGTGTTATATTGGACATAGTATTTCAGATTGAGCAGATGGTTTGATGGGCTTAGCAGGTAGTTTGAGAGTACAGGTCAGAAGATTGGGTGGGCAAGTTTGGAATATTCTTTATGATTTTATGTGTATAACACTGAGGCTAATCTTGCATTTTTTGGAAAACCTACTTGGTTATCCAAATATTTTGTGCAGGCAAAGATGGATAAGGCTAGGGAGGAAGTGAAAAAAAGAACGTTGTTCTGAATCTCCAGACAATTAATAGTGGAAAATCAGTGTTGGCCTTAGGCCAGACTACCTGAGCCAGTCTTCTAATGAGATTAAGATCTGCTTTGCTTCTTGGAAATTCTCCACACCATGGGAGCTAACCCCAATCACCACTACTACCACCACCAAGTTCTGGTGGCTGTTGACAAGCTCTGAGCATTCCTAGTTTATCATGAACTCCTCAAAACCAAACCAAGATTCAGAGTTACAGAACTAAGATGCCCGGGGCCACCACTAATATTACATTGGCAAAATGCCAGATGACAAAGTATATCATTTCACCCCTAAAATTATTCCCTTTTTTCTGACCAAGAATGGAATTCACCAAGCTTACAGGACACTGTATAAATATATATTATAGAAAAACCTAATAGGAAGAAAAAGAATGACAATTTTTACTCCATGCTGCCTGAGGCATATTTCTCTCAGTAATTTCCAAGCCTACTGAAAGCTGAAAGTTTCTTTCATCTTACCACCTACCCTATATTACCCCAAATGTAAGCCTTGCCTCTACTTCTCTGATACTTAAGTATTAATCAGCTATTGATTATTTATGATCAATAATTAATTATAATTCACTGATCCAGTGATAACTGGCCAATATTAATAACAAAAAATCAGTCAAAAATAAAAGACTAAGATAAAAAATGTCATTTCTGAGATCCTTTAATTACCTGACATAATGCAAAGTTGTAGTATAACTATTTCTGAAAGAATTACTTTGTGCTTTTTGATGGTGCTAATTGAAAGAAAAGTTTATTCATGGCTGCCAACCAGTGGAGTACAAAATTTCATTTTAACGCTGTCAAGAGAGGAAATCCTTTGTGTTTGGCCTTGGTTTGATAAAAATCGGTCTTGAACACCATCTACAGTAACATGGTATTAAAAGCAGGGTTATGAATTGTTGCTTTAGGATTCTCAGCCTCAGAAACCCAAAACCACTTACAAAAAAGAAAAGGATACATTGTTTTAATTGTTCTTTATTATTTATGATAAGAAATAATTTTTTCCTTGTTTCCCCAGGTGGCCGTGGAGGACCGTGTCAGGCAGCTGCATGAAGCCCACAGGGACTTTGGCCCAGCATCCCAGCACTTCCTTTCCAGTAAGTTTTCAATTTTCATCACTTAACCTCTTCATTGCTTCCTGGTAGCTAAGAATCCAGGAATGAATTATAGTCATTTCTGCCAGATGCAGTAGAGGCATAAATCATCCTGAAATATAACGTGGTACATGACTCCAGAAGGTAAGGAACAGGAGGACCCATTAGATCATTTTGTCCAGTTTTAGCAAATACATGAATGTTTCCATAATGTATCCTTGAGTGCTAACTTCATTCATATTTTTGAGACTTTATTTCGGCCTATATAAGTTCACTTCATAAAGCTGACAATAATATAATTATAATATGGTCATTCAATTTATGTTGCTATGAATCTGTAATTGTTTCTATAATTCATTAAAATACTTCCTGCCTCCAAGTTGGAATCCCAGTCTCTGGTATTTGCTGTCTAAGTACTCTTATCTCTCTTTTATCTTTGACCCCTACACATTTTTTATTTGGCAGGAAGTTTTAATACTTTATTAATTGTACTTTTAAAAGTAGTCATATTGTTTAGTTACTATTAATAAATGTGATATATTTGGTAATTGATGCTAGAAGAAATGGCTTTACTTAACTGAAAACTCAAGTAACATTCTATTAATAATGTATATTGAATTGGCAAGTACCTATTTTCCTGTACTTAATTTTGATTTACACCACTCTTTCTTTGATTGTAAAAAAATATATATGTTAAGTTGTGGTATTTAAAAAGCTATATGTCTACTGTATTGATTTAGCAACTGTTAACATTTTGATGCCTTGCCTTCTGGCCATATCCCAGTATATATGAAGGTTTAACCATCGTTTGAAGGCAATTACTCTGTGCCTGACAATGTTGTAAATATTTACTAATTTAACCCTTATTAGCAACTCCATTAGTTAGGTGCCATTATTCTACCCATTTAAATGAGGAAGAGATTGAGGAACACATTGACATAGCTAGTAGATGATAAAGCAGGATTCTAATTCAAGAAGTCAGCTCTAGAATCTGTTTATAACAATTACACTGTACTTTTACTTAATTTGTGTGTCTTATAAAGAAGAAATAATTCTATATGGTTTCCCCTCAGTCTTCTGCTACATTCTTTTATTTCCACTTTCTGGTTCTTTCCTTTCTTTTCAATTCTCCCCGAGTTATTTAAAAAGATACATGCTAGGGCTGGGGATATAACTCAGTTGGTAGAGTGCTTGCCTCACCTGCGCAAGGCACTGGGTTCAATCCCCAACACACACACACACACACACACACACACACACACACACACACACACACACGACTAAAAAGATAAATGTTGCCAGGTGCTGGGGGGCACACACCTGTAATCCCAGCAGCTCGGGAGGCTGAGGCAGGAGGGTTGTGAGTTCAAAGCCAGCCTCAGTAACTTAGTGAGGCCCTAAACAACTTAGCAAGATCCTGTCTCAAAATTTTTAAAATTAATTTTAAAAATGGCTCAATGGTTAAGCATCCCTGGATACAATCCCCAGTAGAAAGAAAAAGATACATGCTTACAAACATTGTAAAGTATAAGATACACGCTTATAAACATTGTGAAGTATTTAACTAGATGCTTTCACATGTGACTCTGGTTGGTCATGGTATTTTATAGAAAAAAATTCCTGGAAGGGCTGGTCCTATCTTTTCATTAAACATCAATAATGGATTCAGTAAAAGTTCTCATATTTTCTCAATTAATTCTAACCTTCTTATCTGCATGTGATCTAGTTATTTGAACAGTATCCCACAAGCTTAGGAGTTGACAAGAAAAAAAAGGGAGATAAAGGAGTTTATCACAATGAATAGGGTTGTGGCTTTTAGGGAGGGCTCTTAAAAAATTTAAAGGCAGCTGGGTGTGGTAGCACATGCTTGTAATCCCAGCAACTCAGAAGGCTGAGGCAGGAGGATTGCTAGTTCAAGGCCAGTCTCAGCAATTTAACAAGGCCCTGAGCAACTTAGCGAGATGCTGTCTCAAAATTAAAAAAAATAAAGAGGAATGGGGATATTGCTCAGTGGTTAAGCTCCCCGGTACTGAAAAACATATATATTATAAAGGCTGCAGATTTTGTCTTCTATATTTTTCCAAATCTCTAGTCACCTTAATTCGCCTTGGTGACAGCCATTTATTTGATTTAATTGAGATAAAATGTGATAACATACTCCTAAGTGACTCATAGACCATAAATAAAAATATTACTGTTGTGAATATTAATTACCCCTCAGACAATTTGTATTCATTCATACTTTCTTTTCTGTCCCCCTCCCTCTGAATTCCCATGTCTTCTCCATTAAAACCTATTCCCAGAAAATGATATGTTATACTCATTTAACCCAGGTGACAGGTAAAGTTTAATGTGTACTTCTCTGGGTTATTTGCATTTTAATAGGGTAAAAATCCATAAGCCTAAGGAATGGCTCTCTGGTGTCAACCAGAAGCTCTGAGCTGTTCAGAAAAAACATCCAGGGGCAGGTGGAGCATCCTCACACCTTTCAAATCATATCACATCAGTGCCCACTTCCAGAAAGGTCAGGCCTGCAGATATGGACACTCATTAAAAGATTGATCTACCTGCCTGAATGGAGGCAGCCCTAGAGGTCACCAATCTCTCAGATGCCCATGTGGAATATCAATATATGCTTAGAAGCTTTGCCTGTGTATATAAAAAAGTATACCAATTTGTTTTAAAGGATATTTAAGAAATAGAACAGTGAGGCTAGACATGGACTGTGTCTTTCTGTTATCCTTTGTTAAGTTATGAAGGTAATATATGCCTATCAAGGAAAATTTGCAAAGCAGAGAGTACTAACAGGAAAAGGAAAATTATCCACAATCCCACCACTCAAAGATAAACTCCATCAGAAATATTGTTTGTATATTGTCTGTCTTAGTCTGTATATATGTTATCCAGGTTCATTTTTTTTCTTTTAAACTAAGCAGGAATAAAAAATATGTTACAGTTGCATGATCTGCTTTTCCCCCTTAATCGAATATTAGAATAGTCTTATTCACTATTATATCCAATGTTATGACTCACATTCTTTCTGTACCTTTACAAACATCTCAGATTCTTTCTAAAAGACAAATGCCTGTCTAATTGCTGTGTTAAAGGACGTTTACATTTAAAGCCATTTAAAGCCTTCTCGTATATGTTGCCAAACTGATCTTTAGTAAGTTGTACCATCTAGTAAGTTGGGTGCACCATCAAAACCATGTTTGAGGAAGGGCCTGTTGGAAGTCACTTCCCAGCTATTAGATTGTAATCTATAAAAGAAAAATAGCCTCCTTCCAAAACATAAAAATACGCTTAAAAATTCCACTAAGGTCATTTCAAATGAGTTTAAGTTGTTTAGTAACAGTGATTTGCTTCCAGGTTACTAGGAATAATAATAGAGTGATTTCTGAAACTTTGATATTACAATGGAGCCAGGTGTGGTGATGGATGCATGCCTATAATCCCAGCAATTAGGGAGGCTGGGGCAAAAGGATCACAAGTTTGAGGCCAGCCACAGCAACCTGACAAGACCTTGTCTCAAAAATTAAAAGGGTTGGGGATGTGGCTCAGTGTTTAAGCACCCTAGGTTCAATTCCCAGTACAAAAGAAAAGGAGAGAGAGAGAGAGAGAGAGAGAGAGAGAGAGATTGATTGATTGAAAAATAAGGATAAGTCACTAACTACACCCCTGCCCACAAACAGGCTTATTGACTATTGACTCCCCACTCCCACCCCCCACCCCCCACCCCCACCAATACATAGACTCTCATTTGGAAACTACATTGCCAGCTGTCTTTTTTATCATAAGAGAGAGGCAGTATCTTACTAAAAGAAGTATTCACTGTTTCTTCTTGGTGGCCCAATCTGTACTTGTTAAAGAAGTTGTTTCTTTTATCTTAGATCTGAGAGAAAATGAAAAGAGAAAAACATTGTAAAATGTGACCCTTCTCCATTGATAGACACTAACTTGTCTTTAATTCTAGTTTGAAAACTCTAGTACTCCTAATTGACTTCTGCAACTTAAACTAAGAAAAAAGAGAAATTCTAGTATTATGATTTTAAAACGTTTATAGATTTTACTATACAAATCATTATAAAAAATATATGTGGGCTAGGAACAGTGGCACACACATGTAATCCCACCAAATCCGGAGGCTGAGGCAGGAAGATTACAAGGTTAAAGCCAGCCTCTGCAGCTTTGCAAGACTCCATCTCAAAATAAAAAATGAAAAGGCCTAGGAATATAGTTTAGCAATAGAGTGTCCCTGGGTTCAATCCCCAGTTCGTCAAAAGAAAAAAAAAATATTCTAGAATCCCCTAAAGGAACATTTTCCAAGTTGGGTTTCTCCGCACATTAAAGTTCTTTAAGATTTTAATAACTGTCCCTTGAAAAATTAATTCTAGGATGAGTAAGATTGGCAAAACATGAGTTTTTAAAGACTAGCACTCTTCAAGACTAGACTTTTCTATTGGAATTCTTGGAGCCTTTATGAGGCACTTAGACTCTAAAAGGAAGATGGAATTTGGTGCTCTTTGTCATACCTGTAACTATGAAAGCATTTTTGAGGCACACCAATTAATTTATCACTAAACATGTCTTAAAGCATACTGAATCTTTGCCCCAAAGTGGTATTTCCTAAATGGTATAATTACAAGAATTTTCTGCCCAAAGTAGTAAGAATGGGACCCACTTAAAAAGAAAAAGGGTCAACTTTCTATCTTCCCTGAAGTTCCCATCCCCAGCCCCCTTCCTGACTCCAGGAGTCTCCTTATGCTATGAAGTTTCCTAACTAGAGAGAAGCTTAGAATGTAACTATACTAATAGCTTTCAGACTCATAGGTGTGGCTTAGTAGAGAATTTTAAAATCAGTTTAATGGTTTGCATCCAACTATTGTTTAATGGAATGGAATAAAGCAGATGAGAAAATATTAGAGTACATTACACATTAAGGTTAAGTATTCTTTTGACACTTTGGTTGTTTAGTTAAGTGTGTATGTATGCACACTAGATCA